GTTGTGTGCCTTAACGTGTTTTCTTACCTTCAGTCATTATTTATATTTATTACTCACTGGGTTAGAGTACTCACATTACTCCCTGCACCATGTGTGCAGATACAGGTATTCCTGAGGCATAGAGTGAGTTTTCTGCTGTTTAGTTTTCATCGGAGTTATCGAGGTTGCTGCATGGCGTTCGCATACCCGTTTTCTCCCTTAGCTTCTGTTATTTATGATATCTTCAGACTTTGTTCCTAATTCCATACTTTGTAGAATTTTAGTCAACTCTGTAGTAGCTCCTGACTTGTGACACCCCGGTTAGGGCTGAGTTGGGTTGGATTTCCGTATTTTATCTATACTTTCCGCTATTGGATATTATTAAATCATATTTATACTATAATTGTGTTATTAATTGTCTTAAAAGGATGAATTGGGTTGAATGGTTGGCCTTGTCTTCATGAGAGGCGCCATCATGACCAGGTTCAGGAATTGGGTCGTGACATTGATGATGTCCTGAGGGTTTGAAACCCCAAAATTTCACATCGTAACGCTATATTGAGGTGACTTGCATGCCGGATAACGGGCGTGGGGTAGATAACAATTGGGAATTCTGACTTGGTCCGTCCCGAGAGATGTTTTTACCGTATTTTCTACTTGAACTAAATTGAGAATCATCCTTACTAAGATTTGATTGTTACATTTGGGCTTCTTGCCAATTATTTGAATCCTTCAGGGATTGATATCACTGTTTTCGCATACTTTGCATATCATTTGATCTNATCACAAAGATAAATCTGAGAAAAACACTATTCAAAACCTGAAAAATACGCCAGCATATTATACTGGAGTTCCAGGATAAGTATACTGGAACTCCAGCATAATATGATGGAGTTCTAGCATAAGTACACTAGAACTCCAGCTTAANCTCGAGCATAATATACTGGAGTTCCAGCAAGTATAATTGTCCAGTATAATATATTGGAGTTTGGAGCACCGGTGCTCCAGTCTCTAGTATATTACACTGGAGTCAGCAAATTATACCGGTCCAGCATAATATGCTGGAGTTCATACACAGGTGCACCGAACTCCAGTATATTATGTTGGACCGGTCTCTGTTGCAGCAAAATAGTGGCTATTTTTCATTGACTTCGTAAACGCTGACTATTTTTGAATGACCAGTCCGAAAACTGACTATACCGTGCTATTTTTACGTAAATCTAGATAGTTTTTTCCAGGGCTCCTATTCCTTTTACTGCAATATGGCTATATAGCAGTCTATAAGAGTTCATCATTATTTCTTAGAGCTGAATCCATTAGCTTCGTTACACGATTAATTGAAATAAAATACGATACAATGACTTCAACTAATGCCTAATCTATTTTTGGCATATGGCCAAGTTGAAGTTACCGTGATGAAGATACTAAATGGAAAATATTTTTTGTGTTGCATACAAAAATATATACAAATGTGTATAATGCAAAATTATCAAAAACTATTTGCACTTGTCTACAGTAAAGTTAGAAGCTGGTGTTATACGTTTCTTGATAAACATATTTCAATTCTTATCATCTAAGAATATTTTAAGGCTTCAACAAGAATTCAGAATCCAACATGTTTAAATAACGACACTTCTTTTAAGTAAAGAAGGAATATATTTTGGCATCATTCATTGACTTGGCTATATTATACTGACAGTCTGCACCCTGCTGTATTTTATCTGGATAAATGATAATGATTAGTCTCAACAGTTAATATAGAATTTTACTCAATGCTATAGCTAATCCTAGAGAAGGCGAAAGGTATTATTTGAGATTATTGTTGAATCACGTCAGAGGACCCTTATCGTTTAAAGACTTGCTAACTGTTAATGGAAGAGAGTGTGAAACATTCAAAGAAGCTGCAAAGGAAAGAGGTTTATTAAAATCAGACAACAGTATTTCAGAATGCTTACGTGAAGCAGTCCTCTTCAAAATGTCATCAGCGCTGAGAAATTTATTTGCAACATTTTTGGTTCATTGTAATCCAACGGACATTAGGAAGCTCTGGAAAATCTATTACGAAGATATGTCAGAAGATTTTAGAAAAATACATGATAATTCTCCTGTTGCTCAACTCCAATGCATGTTGAAGAGCATCAATTATTTCTTAGAGAGCATGGGCAAGAAAATTGACAAGTATGAATTACCTAAACTTGATCATGGGAGGGATAATGGTAATGTATCGGAATGTAGAGAAATAATCGAAGAAAGGTCTATAAATGTATCGCTCGGAGATTTTGATGCACAATAAAAACTAAATCCTGAACAAGAACAAACTTTCAAGACTATATTAGAGAGAGTCGACTCTAATAGAGCGGGATTGTTCTTTGTGGATGGACCTGGAGGAACTGGAAAAACATTCCTATATCGTGCATTGCTTGCAAATCTCATATCAAGAGGCATGATAGCTTTAGCAACGACAACAAGTGGTGTAGCAGCTGCAATTTTATCCGGAGGTCGTACAACTCACTCTAGATTCGACATCCCTCTTCAGACAACTGATACAACGATCACAGATATGTCAAAACAGAATGGTGGTGCTACATTGATAAGAAAATCAAAGCTAATAATTTGGGATGAAGCACATATGGCCAATCATCAGACGATTGAAACTGTTGATAGGAGCTTTAGAGATATAATGGATATTAATGAACCCTTTGGTGGAAAAGTGATGGTCTTCGGAGGTGATTTTCGTCAAGTTCTACAAGTAGTTCCAAAATTTACCAGAGCTGAAACAATAAATACAAGCTTGGTAAAATCATATTTGTGGAATAAAATGAAAAAGGTTCAATTAATAAGAAATATGAGGGCAAGAGCAGATCCAACATTCAGCGATTTCTTACTACGGATCGGTAATAGAGAGGAACCTACAATAAGAGATGACATGGTCCTTCTTCCAGAAAAATTGATCGTCAAACATGATGGTGATAGTACTGGTGAAGATAATTTAATAAGAGAAATATTTCCTTTTCTAGATGAAATGTCAAGTTGTGCAAAATACATTACAGAAAGTGTTATCTTGGCTAGTAGAAATGAGTATGTTGATCAACTAAATGAGATGTTAATTGCTAAATTTCCTGGTGAAAGCAGAACTTTTTGAGTTTTGACTTCGCAGAGGATGATACCAACAACTACTACCAGGAAGAGTACTTAAATACTTTAACACCAAGTGGTCTTCCACCACACAGGTTTGTGTCAAATTGCTATTCTCTATCTTTTTGTGAATTCATTGTGTACTAGATCTGATAATATAAAAAGAATTTCTCGATATGTTTTTAATTGAGATAAATTTATTAAACTTACTGTAATCCTATTATGTATACTCATGCAAATTCATCTTATACAATTTTTCTTTCAGAGTTTTACACAAAAGTTGCATGCGTTCCTTTTAGTTCTAAGAGTACTCAGTTCTATTATTGAAGTCAATATTCGGAACTTATAGCAAATGTAACATTCAGGATAGACAAAAAAAATAGTAGATCATTCTGAGAATTGGGAATTATATTAATATATACTATTACATATAGTAGCTTCATCTTTACAATCTACAATTGCAGATTTATTTGAATATTTTAGAGTTTGCAGGTAATTATTTTTTTGTGTGAATGGTGGTTTTTTTTTTGAATTTTTCTATAATTTCTAAAATATTCTGTTTGTTACATTCTACGTAACTGTCAAGGAAATAAAGACAAAGTAACATACTTCAGCCTTAGACCAGGTAATTTTGGCGTTACTGTAATAAAGTATGTCTATTTCTCTGTCGTCTTCCTTGTGCGCCTTTTTATACTCAAAATCAAGCAAAAAAATGGACATCAAGGATGAATAATTCTAATTATCTTGGTAGCTTGCAAAGCAGCTAAAGGAATTAAAAAAGAAAAAAGAAAAGAAAAGAAAAGAAAGAGTATTATGAAATCATTTGGATGATAACCTGAACTTCTGCTGGTTATGATAAAAGATATTATTTGTTGGTTGACGGGTTGGTTTTAAAGAAAAATGCTCCGATCATGTTATTAAGAAATTTGGACCCGGCAAATGGCTTATGTAATGGTTCAAGAATGATATGTAGAGGCTTTGACAACAACGTCATCCATGCAAAAATAATGATGGGCGAAAATGCTTCCAAACATGTGTTTATTCCCAGAATTCAACTTTCGCCTCCAGAAAATGAAGGCTACCCTTTCAAATTCATCAGAAAACAATTTTCAGTACGTCTATACTTTTCGATGACAATAAATAAAGCAAAAGGACAAACAATACCTAATGTGGGACTGTACTTACTGCAACACGTATTCTCACATAGACAACTATATGTTGCACTCTCAAGGGGAGTATCTATGTCAACAACAAAAGTTTTAGTCTTGACCGAGCAGCCGAAGCGAAAAAAAGGAACATATACGAAGAACATCGTCTATAAAGAGATATTAGGTAAGATTCACCACCATACCATAGCATATATCATAGAAACATAATTGTATGATGATCTGTTGTTATTCTTCAAGCAATATTTTCTTTTTTATGAAACTTCCTCAACTATACACAATTTAATTATACATATTATAAATGAATTTCACATATATTACAACTATATAATTATATTTATTTTTACGGATTCTAATCTGTTTCGCCGAATGCATCGACAATACCGTTATATTTTAGAGGTGCCTTCCTCTTACCAGTATCAAATGAAGCAACATTCTTCATGGAGCACATCAATATTGTTCAACAGATGACATCAAGAGGGTAGCAACAGTCTGACTAATGGTTCCAACAACCTCACCACACTCATGCTTCACTGTAACACTCAATTTAGTGTCTACACGCTCAATACAACTATTTCTTTAATGTAATAACTTTTTTTGCATCGTCAAATTCTATTACACTTAATTCATTCTTATTCAATTTAATATGCACTATTTAGACAGTTTACCATTTAAATATTTGTTGTATCATCAATTACCTTTATACTTAATTCATTTTTATTCTACCTAATTAAAATACGCTCTTTTGTGCATAACGCTTAATACACGTGCAACGCACGTACACTAAATCTAGCCCTTTGTAAGATTTAGCCAAATATATATATATATATATA